TGGGAAACAAAGCAGAAGGATAGAAAACATGTGGTAACTTGTATAGCAAACCTGTTGGATGGGAGGTTGGTTCTGTCTGGAAGAGACAAGTAGTTTCCAGTTGTTTTAGGAGCTTTCTTACATTGCTTTCCTTGCCCTAGCCTTCTTTTGCCTTAGAATGTGTACATTTATCCCTGTTCAAATTACTTGAGTACTCGTATTGTGGGGATACATGCGTAATCGTGTGCAGCAAGTCATTTTAGCGGGTATACAATCAACAATATCAACAGAATAAAACTGTCAAATTTAGAGGATGAGGCATAGTTTTCTCTCGCTTATGAATTTATCGGAAGAAATTAATTTTTCTTACATTTTAAAGCCCATACTTGGATTTGAAGATTATGTTTCTTAAAACACTAATATTTAGTGATCAACTGTTTGTGTCCGGCCCTATGATGGGTGCTTTCTTGTACACTATTACAGTTTTCTTTGTCTTTTTTTGAGACAGGTCCTCACTCTGGTTGCCCAGACTGGAATGGAGTGCAGTGGCACGATCTCAACTTACTGTGGCCTCCACCTCCCAGGCTCAGGTGATTCTTCCACCTCAGCCTCCTGAGTAGTTGGTACTACAGGTGTGCGCCACTACACCTGGCTCATTTTTTGTATTTTTAATAAAGATGAAGTCCTGCCATGTTGTCCAGGCTGGTCTTGAACTCCTGGACTCAAGCAATCTACCCGCCTCAGCCTCCCAAAATGCTGTGATTACAGACATGAGCTACCACACCTGACCATCATTATAATTTTCAAAACAGCTCTGAAATTCTCCTTTCTTCACATTTTACAGACAAGGACACTGAGGCTCAGAAAGCAACTGCTCTGAAGCCTAGGGAAAGACTCTAGAAATTTCAGTTATTTTAAAACAGTAGGTTGCCTTGGAGAGTATTCTTTTCAGATAGTAGGTCAGGTTCTAAATGGATCATTTTATATGGACAGGAGACAGAGAAATACTGGATAGAACAGGGTGGTTCCTTGGCAAGGGCCCCACCCTCAAGACAGGTTACCCACAGCCCTAAATGAGGACAGGCACTCAGATTTTCATGCCCAAAAGCTGTCTTTTGGCCCACCATGACCTCTATCCTGTACTCATGTAAACTGCAGACTGCAGGCTCCAGAAGCAGACAATGGAGAAGAGTAGATGAGTGGCAGAATGGTATAGGAGAGAGAAGAGAAGGGGCTTCTGAATGCTGAGAGGAGTTTGGCTGGGGATGGTCAGAGAGGAGATTGGTCACTGAATGGTCAAACTCTAGGGGAAGATCATCTTCCTACTCCATCCCCCTTCCAGCTCGCTATTCTTCCCATTGAGAGCAACTTCCACCATTCAGTAATATCCCCTCATTCATCCTTAAAGTCTGTATGTGACCCGATTCTTCTAGGATGAGAGCATGGGTACAGAAAGCTGTCACACTGGCCTTCTGCTGTTGTGAAAAGGCAGAGAGTCCACTGAGCTGGTTAACACATAAGCTGTCTGTGAGTGGCAAGGCTGAAAGAGTGCACTGTAACACATGCCAATTTGGTCTTTGGGAGTTACAGGCTGTCAACCATGGCTGGAGCCCAGGGGTGCTTTCTCTTGCTCCTGAACCTGCCTGCCTGCATGCCCCCTCCCATAAGGGTTTGAGGAGCAGTGATTACCCAAAAGATGAGCCATACTCCTGTCACATGTCCTGCAAGGGAGATCAGGGAATGCTCCCATTTCAATTTCCCAGTGTTTTCTCCTATGCAGTCTGTTGTGGTAGTGGTCATTAGTGCCATCCAGCAAATATTTTGGGCTGACCTCCCTGCTGTAGAGTAAGAGGGCATTTCATCACTTCCTTGAAGGTAGACATAGCCAATGAAATGTAATAAGAAGTGACACAGTATTACCTCTAAGTAAAAGCTCTGAGAGCTATTGAATTATTTGCCTTTGCCTCATTTCCTTCTGCCATGGCAACCAAAAATGCTCTGTTAGATTGGGTCTTGGAGGTGGGATGATGTAGAACAATGACCTCAGACAGCCTGCAGTGTCTGTGTAGTGCAAGTGAGAAACCAACCTTTTCTTTAAGCTGCTGTGTTTATCATAGCAGCATAGATTAACTGATACACTTTTGTGACATGGGTTTCATGCTCCCCATGGCTTTCACACCTATACCTGTTAGATTAGAAAACTCTTATGTGGTCATTATTCTATAATTAAATCCAATGCCCACTTAGAAGCCTTGGATGTTAAAGAATTTCAAATGGTACAGACAGACTGATAAGCACAATTTATTCAATAAATGTTTATTGAGTTCCTACGAAGTGCAGAACATCATGAGGGATTCAGAAATAAATTAGTTTGGTAACCTGTCTCAGAGAAATTAGAGTTTAGCAGGGAAGGGCTGTATTTATGTATTAAATGTATGCAATGAAATGTACATGGTTTGTGCATTTATTCAAACATACTTTTATAAGGTTCATGACTACTATATTTGTCAAGTGTTAGTGATTTTGTAGAGCAAAAAGAGATATGGTCATTCTTTTTTATTTTTTTGAGATGGAGTTTTGCTCTTGTTACCCAGGCCGGAATGCAATGGCGTGTTCTCGGCTCACTGCAACCTCCGCCTCCTGGGTTCAGGCAATTCTCCTGCCTCAGCCTCCTGAGTAGCTGGGATTATAGGCACACGCTACCATGCCCAGCTAATTTTTTGTATTTGTAGTAGAGATGGGGTTTTACCATGTTGACCAGTATGGTCTCGATATCTTGACCTCATGATCCACCTGCCTCGGCCTCCCAAAGTGCTGGGATTACAGGGGTGAGCCACCGTGCCCTGCCCGAGATATGGTCATTCTTACATGGAGTTAGGGCCTAAAAAAGGAAATTAAAATTAATCACGCTAAGATAGATGAAATTATAAATGGGGTGGGGACTGTAAAGAAGAGGCACATGGTGCAATGATGACTTATAACAGGTGGAATTATTTAGTCCAGAGGCATAATGAAGAGCTCATAGTAAGTTTGTGGAAATGCCTTCGGCTTAGCAATCAAGCAGACCTGCGTTTAAATTCTGGTTCTATCACTTTGAGCCATATGAATGGCATTTTACCTTTCAAAACAGATATAAATGTATTTTTCTCAGAGTAGTTGTAAGACTAATACAAGCTTTTGTCTGTGACAGTGCCTGCATACCATATATGCTATTAAATGTTAGTTTCTGAGTCTCCTTCCCCTATGTGATTGATTCTATATAACCAATGCAGAGAAAGGTGACAGGGAGTATGGATCTGTCTGGAGGTTAGAGAAACCTTCATGAAAAAAAGTAGCATTTAAGCTCATACTTGAAGAATGGAACAGCTTTGAATAAAAAATAATTGTAATCATGTGAGGTAATGATAGCTATAGGAAACAGAATATTACTTAGTAGCTAAGATCATAGGCTTCTGAATAAAACAGATCCCAATTAAATAATGGATCCATCATTATTAGCTCTGTGACCTTGGGCAAGGTGCTTCTTCTTTCTCTTCGAAAGTTTCCCCATCCATAAAATGAGGATAATTTTTGAATTATGGGCCAGGTGCGGTGGCTTACGCCTGTAATCCCAGCACTTTGGGAGGCTGAGGCAGGTGGATCACGAGGTCAGGAGATCGAGACCATCCTGGTCAACATGGTGAAACCCCGTCTCTACTAAAAATACAAAAAATTAGCTGGGCATGGTGGCACGTGCCTGTAATCCCAGCTACTCGGGAGGCTGAGGCAGGAGAATTGCCTGAACCCAGGAGGCGGAGGTTGTGGTGAGCCGAGATTGCACCATTGCACTCCAGCCTGGGTAATAAGAGCGAAACTCCATCTCAAAAAAAAAAAAAAAAAAAATGGAATTATGCCATAGGATCAAGGTCAAGATCAAATGATAAAAGTAAGATATTTAATACGGATCCTGGTAACTGAGGAGATGCTCAATATAATTGGCAACCAATATTTACTCTTAAAAGCAGAGAAGTGATAGTCTCTGGGTATCTTTTTTTGTGGTACTTTAGATTCAAACTCCCAATGAATTGTTTGACTGCAAGGGTCTGATGTCATTGAGTCCAGCATGAGATTTACTGTCTCCTTTGAGTATTAATCCCCACCAATTAATAGTGATAGTCACTAAACATTTAGTACCTAATGAGGTGCATCTCCTCAGTCTGGGTGGAATGGAACTGTGTAAGCCAACTACCAACCTTCCTTCTCACTGGCTTTGCATGACCTCCCCACTGGGCTGCCTGAGGGCATTGACTTCATTTGAAAAATGCGTTTAGAAATGTCACTGTCTGGAAAGTATTGAGCTCTAAAGTCTCCTTGGAACTATGAATGCAAAGAATGTCAGAGCCTATCTCCTGTGAGCACTGTATTCTAACTCGTCATCTTAAAAATGGAGAAAATAAGGATTAGAAAGGGGAATGAGATGACCAAGATTTCACCGTTGGTGATATAGCAGTGAAATAAAGGAGTTAGGTAAGGTCCATGCTCTTATGGAGCTAAAGATTCAGTGAGGGGGATTGACAACATGCAAGAAAACCAGTAATTCCAAAAGTTAACGTGGTACAATGACAAAGAATAATGAGCTTGGGGGATATGTGATATATGGTAGTCAGAGGATGTCTCTTGGAAGAGGTGACATTTAAGCTGAGACTTGAAATATATAAAGGCACCAGCAAAAAGATCTGGGGCAGGAGTGTTCCTGGAGTGAAATAGAATAGCAAATTCAAAGTTTGTAAGGAGGAATACACTTGGTGTGTCTGAAGCTGGGTGTAGCACGTAACCCAGTGAGATAGGGTGATAGTGGTAAGAAACACGGTGACAGAAGTGGATAAGGCAAAATTTATAGGGTTTAGGCCACATTCAGGTTTAAAATTTTATTGTTAAGTGTGAAGGAAGAGAAAGCTCCTGGAAAGTTTCAAGCAGTGGAGTGACAAAACTGGATTAATGATTTGAAAGATCATTCTGCCATGGTATACAGAATAGGCTGTTGGAGGATAAGAATATGAACAAAGAAACATTTAGGGGTTTAAATTCCAGGTAGGATTTTATTTCGATAGTCTAATTGAGAGATGGCGATGGAGTAAACCAAGGAAATATACTGGGGAAGAGGGAGCGAAGTGGACAAACAAGCTCTATTTGGAGCCAGATTTGGCAGGATGCTGGGAGAGAGCGATGTAAGGGGAATAGTTTTCCCCATTGTGCTTTTTCTTGAATGACTGGATATGTGCTAGTGACATTTGCTGAGATAAAGAAGCCTGGGAGAAGAGAAGACATGGGGTCATAAGATTAAGAGTGTACTATTAGGTAAAATAAGCACGAGATGCCAAGGTGACATGCAAGTGGTACTGCTAAGTAGGTAGTTGACTCTGGAAGCCTTGAGTGTTCTAGCCACCTATAAGCCTGCTGCAAATGCTAGAACTTCATGCTGCCGCTCTCATACCAATGTCCATGCAGAAACTGCTGATAGATTGCAAAACTCTTGCCTGTGGAGCTTGGGTGTGGCCAGTCTTCTTCATCAGCATCACAGCCATGGTGCTCCCGGCAGCCACAGCACCACTTCCTTGGTGCTGGTGTTCAAAACACATCTATCTGCCATTCCCACTGCGTGATATTTAGCATCTATTCTTCATCAATCATTTCAGCTTACTACTGGTTTATTGTAAAATTTAGGGTAAGTGAAATGCAATTCATTTTCAGCATTTACTGAGACCCACTGTGCACTTCGAATGCTCTGCAAGGTGCTGGGAGTGAGAAAGTTGATTAATATGTGATTTGGGGTCCCTCGCTAACAAAGTTTACAGCTTTACCAGAGAATCCACTGGAAAAAAATCAGATCTCAGTGTATTAAAAAAGGCCCAAATACGTGGTCTAAAGAGTACGTTTAGAGGCAGGTAGGACTGCCATGTGGTAATGCAATCTTGGAGGTGTTGTGGAGAAGTCAGGCTTGATTTGACCTTGAGGAAGAATAGAATTCAAATGAGAAAAGGCGATGATGGTGGCATCAGGTGGGATAAGCAGTTTAATTAGACAATTGAAGTGGGCATGAGTATAGATAAGAAAGAGGAATCTGGCCGTTGTGAATGGGGAAGTTAGGAAAGGAGTTAAAATAGTGGTCGTATTATTGTTCTGACTTCAGACCAGCCTCATGGTGGTTGACTTAGATGATTTCTAAAATGCCTTCCAGTGCCACTTTTGGATTTTTGTCACTACAGAGCATGGATTTCCATCTTCTCGGATTCCACTGTCAGGTTCCTTGCTGCACTACTTGATAAAGCCAGTGCTATATATTTTAAATAATATAACAAATTTGGTGACAATTTTTGTTATCTGGCTAACATAGCATCCAAGGCCCCAAGTATCAGGGCTTAATGCAAATCAAGTTTGTTTTTTGCTAACGTAATAGTCAGATGCAGGATCTCTCAGTCAGGTAGCTCCTGGATGACTTTCTTCCAAGCAGTGTTTCAGGCTCTTCACATGGCTTTTCCATCTTCAATATGTGGCATTTAAGACTGCCCTGGGGACTGACTGCACTCCAGTCAGCCCAGTGAAAAAAAATGGGAAGACTTCTGGGGAGGAATTTATGGGTTGGCCAGTAGACACTTCTGCCTTTATCTCACTGGCTGAAACTCAACCTCATAGCCAGATCTAACTGCAAGGAAGACTGGTGTAGGTAATCTAGGTTTGTGACCTGAATGAGAAGAAAACAGCTTGCTGATCAATTCTCTCACAGTACACCACTGGCCAGTTGATTCTTAGGTATGAAAGCTTCTCAACCTGAGTCATTTGACTCACAACTTTGGCCTGGGGTACTTTCTTCTCAGTCTATGACCTCACTCAGCCACTTGGGAGCTGAGCCAGCCCATATTCAGGTAAGAACTGACTAGAATTTGGAGTAGTTCCCCTCCTCTCTCCCTGTGAGTTCAGTTAACTTCTTTTTATCCTGTATCTCTAACACTGGACTCATTCTTTTTTCTTTTTTAAGAGACAAGGTCTGGCTATGTCCTCAGGCTGGTCAGCAGTGGTGTGATGATAGCTCACTGCAGCCTCAGACTCCTGGCCTCAAACAATCCTCTTGCCTTAGCCAATGTGCCCCACTCTGGACTCATTCTTTATCTCAGGTGTGTCCAGGCTCCTGTTTGAACATAGACCGTATGTAATTTAGATTTGACCTCTGATACTTATCCCTGCAGACTGTCTCAAGTTCATTATTAGTTTCGTGTGAAGGAGCACCACATTTGGATGTTTGCGGCTTTGGGTTTGATTCTCTCACTCTTCCAAACTGCAAAGCTGTGTTTGGTAGTGTTATGAAGCAGTCTTAGAATATAAGAGAAGTGTAGAATCTAAAAAACAAAATCACAAGACCTGTTAGGTAAGAGCAGTGTTTATATGGAGTTGTTATTTGGATTTGAGTTACTCACATCAAATAGTAATGTATGCTTCCTTACATTTATTTTCTGTTACATAGTACATACAATAGTACATATACTTCCTTACATTTATTTTGTGTTAAAATAACTTTTATGTATACAATCTCATTTTATTCTTATAGTATAGCACTGCTGCGGAATAGGCATTATGATCTTCTCATATCAGTCAGGATATAGCCAGAGAAACAGGAGCAGTAAGATGGTTGGATGGATGGGTGGATGGGTGGATATTTGGACATAGAATTATTAGAAGGAATTGGTTTACACAACTATGAGCTGCTAGGTAATTTCAAAATCTGTAGGATATGCTGCTAGGAGGAGGAGGCTAGAACTCCTCGGCATGACTGAAGGCACAGGAAGAATTTCTTCTTCTTCAAGGAAGCCTCAGCTCTGCTCTTAAGGACTTTCACTTGATTGAACTAGACCTACCAGATTATCTAGGATAATCTCCTGGCCTTAAAATCATTTGACTGTGGACTTTAATCACATCTATAAAACACCTTTGCAGGAACACCTAGATTAGTGTTTGATTAAATAAATGAGGACTGCAGCCTAGATAAACTGACAAAACTAATCACAGCCCATTTTATAGGTAAAGAAATAGAAGCAGAGGGTAGGAAGTTGCAGAGCTTGTTGGATTTTATTTATCTTACTAAAATATTCTTTTAAGTATTTTTTCAGGTCCTTAAATTTTATATAATGTTCTCAGCAGAATCTAAAGAAAATGTCTGGATTGACTTACCAAGAATGATCTAAATGATACAATATTCAAAACAGAATAGTGAAGAAAGTTATTACCTGCAAGGCAGCTAAGAGTGTGAGAATGACTTATTTTTAACTGTTCTAAGAGTCTCATCATGAATAATTTCCAATATGGATAAGGACTTGATTTTAAGTATGTCGGTGATAGTGGAGTTTGCTTCTTTAATTCTTTGTGCAGGATTTCGAGACACAAATCCTTAACATTTATTTCCGGCCCTGAGGCTGAACAAATTATTAGTTTAATTATAGAAAGCTGAACTTTCATCTTTCTTTAATTGAGCATGGATAATTTGTACCTGTGATCAGTAGCCAAAATGCCATAAAATTACTTACGAAGTCTGACACTCATACCCTTTTACTGCAGTAAAAATACCAATTTTGTAGGCCCGTACAGTCACCATTTTGGGCAACCATTTCAATTTGTTAGTAATTATTGTCAGCACTTGGTTTGGAAAGTGTCACAAGAAGTGCTATTTGCCTTTTGGTGACAGACAGTACATTTAGGGAAGAAGAGGCTAGTGAGGAGACAGATGTTGGCTTCTTGGGCCCATGGTTTGAATGACAGTCAGAGAACAACAGATCATTATTTTTCACAGCAAGGAAAGGAGGAAGGGTCTCAGAAATCCTGAAGTAAATGTCAGCTCTTGGGTGCTTTTGGTTATGCATTCTAACATAAGAAGGCAAGGGCATTTTTATTTCTTTTCTTCTCTCCAATCACACCCTAGGAAGACAAACCTATTATTATAGGTTATGTGTAACCACTGAACTCATGGTCTTCAGTGAGAAGGCACCCTAGAGGCCAAAATGACTATTGTGCCTGTTTCTGCTATAAATTTTGATGGTGGAAAGAATGTTAGGCCACTGAATTACTGCAGCCTTGGAGACAGTTAGCAGCCCATGTGCCTAGTAGCAATTGTGATCTAGTCTGAAAGAAATGGACTTGTTGTATTGCCAGCATAGAAATAGTTGTATAACCTTGAGGGCAAAATTGATAGGGTAGTCATTTTTTTTAATCCCTTTTAGGCAGAACTACCTTAAAGAAAAAGACTAGTTTACAAATTTAGAGTTGAAAGAAACATATAGTTTGAATGCAGTATGTTTCCCTGAAGGTATTCAAAGAGTGTTTTAATGCTCTGGTTCTCAATCCAAATTATACAGCAGACAGATCAATAGTTCAAATTCTTTCCTATGGAGACATAAAGTAAGAGACGAAGAAGGGCTTTTGGGAAATAGGAGCTAGGGAGAGGGCTTAGCAGCTTTTAAATTAATAAAGAAGAACTGGCAAAGGGCAGGTCCAGACCCACCCACCCGTCTTCCAGCTTAGAGAGGAATGGGAATGGCTTATGGCTTCCTGTGGAGGGGAGGGAGCCTGGGTAAAGTGAGGAGAGGGCTTAGAGAGAAACTGGGGACAGGTGGTAAAAGTTTTTGGCAGCCTGTAAACAGGTTGACAAGGGGGAGTTTCTCAGTTTTTTCAGCAGAAATAGAACACATGCTCTGGAATTTTACAGATAATGAATAAAGGTACAATTTAAAGGAACAATTTAGAGATGTGTGGGCAGGGCTGAGGCATCTAGGAAGAGAGGATGAGGCGCCAGGTTTTAGCAATAGCAGGAAGCTGTTATGCTGTCCAGGCCTGAAGAACATGGGGTAAGCATGGGGATCCAGTGTTAATGGGGCCCCATGACCTACCACTGTGGAAGGAGGCTCTAGGTAAGAGTTGAAGTTGTAGAGGGATCTAGTCATTGTCGGAGCCACAGTGCTCAGGCAGGGGTAAAGCCAGGTACTGAATGCCCAACTCCACTCTCCTGCCACCATTTGGTCTTTCTATTAGCCAATCCAACCTGAATTCAGAAGAGACAGGAGCTCGTGTGATGCAGAGAAGGGCAGTGAATGATTCTGGGAAAAGAGCAAAGAGAGAATAACCAGCACTGGTGGAGGGTCTAGGAGGTGATGGGACACAAGGATACTGGACTTGCCATAGGAGGCAATTTGCTGAGGGACTTTAAGCAAATAGCCTGATCCTTTTCTATTTCTCACCCCAACCCATCAGTAAATAGGGATAATAACTTACCCATTTCCTGGGGTTGTTAGCATCAGCCTAAATAACAAACAGAGAAGGCTTTCTAAAAGAAAATAATATATTTATTTGGGAATAGTGCATAAGAATGCACTGCAATGAGAATGTTCTGCCTGGTAAGCCATGTGAGTACTCAGGGAGGTAAAAGAAAGAAAAGGTATTTAGAGGAAAAACTGAGGAGAATTACATAATTGTTTTGAAATAATTATCCTTGTTTACAAAGATAAATAACAAGAATGACACAAGTCTGTGATGGGACAGGCAGTTGCTGGGCAGATGTCCTTGCAGAAGTATTTTTTGGTATAAGTTTGTAATGGTTTTTGTACAAGATTGTGTTTTTTGCAGTCTTTTGTGATAGTGTTTCTTACCACGTATACAAGCATGAGAACATCTTCTTTATGGACTTCCTTGGCTCTATTTGTCAGGATTAAAAAAAAATTAGTGACTCCATTTTGATTTGGACAATTGTCACATTATAAAGATCAGGTGACAAAATATATATTTAACATCAATATTAGATAGATCAATGAGACAGAAAATTAACAAGGATATCCAGGACTTGAACTCAGATCTGGAACAAGTAAACTTAATAAACATTTATAGAACTCTCCACTTTAAACACACAAGATAGGCACTCTTATCAGTACCACATCACACCTACTCACAGGTTTAATTGAAATATTGGTTGGCCATTATTAAGCACGACTGATGGTATAAGGGAGGTTTTCAATACCCATTTTTAGACTGCATTCTAGCCTGGGCAACTAAACAACACTCCCGTTCTCTCTTCCCCCTCCTCTTCCTCTTTTTTCCTCTTCTTCATTCCTTTTTTTTCTTTCTTTCTTTCTCTCTTTTTTTCTTTTTTAAAAAATACATATATATTTTATTTCATTAGTTTGTACTTAGGTTGAATTTTATAATTTCTAAGTCTTCCTCATGTCTCTTATCTCATTTGCTTCTCAATAGTAGCCTCTAGAGTAGTCAAGATAGGTTTTATTGTTCCCATTTTATAGCGAAGATGACTGAGTTGGAGAAATTAAGTGGTTTCATAAAGGTCACCAGATTAGGAGATCTTCTGACTCAAACTTGACTGTAATTTTCTCCTAGTATACTTTGAATGTTATGTAATTCAGCATTTTAGGTGGTTTTGAGGGACTGTTATCATTTTTGTAAAGCATAAAAGTTCCAGATGAGGAGGCTTACACAGTACCTTTCATGTGGTTTGGAAGAACAGCACCCAGGATTCAGGCCAGCTTTCCTTTCTGGGAAGATTACACAGGAAGGGAAAAGGCTGTGCTGTCAGTTTTCATAACCAGCCACTCCTATTTCTCTCTGTCAAAAAGGCCAAAAGAGTATAGCTCATGCGGGTAGCACATGGCAACAAATTGTAGTTACCTTATGTGTATGCCTGTGTCTCACCAAATGTGTTGTTTTTTTATTTTTGCCCTTTTGTCACTTACCTGTAGAATGTTACCTACGCATAAAAATGCTGCTGACTGGGGCAACTTTTCTTTCCCACACTGGTATCTGGCCTGTAGAAATGCTGGCTCTCTGGGACAATCAGATACTGCTGTATTAGGGGAATTTTACCATCTGCTGCTTTTACGTGGCACTTCCTTCTTAATAAGTTTTCACCTGAGCAGGATTGGGGTGCTGAAGCTCTTTGAAGGGTATTGTCTACAAAAATAGTTATTGTGTCAGGTGAATGTGAAAGGGAAATGAAAAGTAAGTCTGAGGTATCATCATAAAGAATGGTTGACTGGGTGCTGTGGCTCATGCCTATAATCTCAGCACTTTGGGTAGGCTGAGGCAGGCAGATCACTTGAGGTCAGGAATTCAAGGCCAGCCTGGCCAACATGGTGAAAGCCTATTTCTACTAAAAATACAAAAATTAGCTGGGCATGGTGGTGTGTGCCTATAGTCCCAGTTACTTAGAGACTGAGACAGGAGAACTGCTTGAACCCTGGAGGTGGAGGTTGCAGTGAGCTGAGATCATGCTACTGCACTCCCGCCTGGGCCACAGAGCGAAACTCTGTCTCAAAAAAACAAAAACAAAAACATAAAAGAATGGTTG